GACAAATGAAACCCATACATAGATAGAACAGCAGGGCCCAGGCCACGCACACATGGCAGTTAACAGCTATAGACAGTACACCATTAGGATTAACGGAAATTGCATCAAAATGTGCTGTTTGTTAAGTTTGTGTACCATTTTTATGGGTTTTTTAGTTTATGTATGGTTCTGTTAGTTCGCTGCAAGTTCTTGTACTACTGGTATAATTAACTCGTATGGCTGAATGTATCTATGAGCAGAGTCTGGGGTAATAGAAGCTTCCCTTATAAAAAAGAACTACATTTCGGTATTGAAAGAGTAGACAGTGACTTACCAGTTGGATGTCCTGCCCATGGCTCCCTACATAGTGCAGTTCGTCGAGCTGTATGAACCCTTTTGCCTGAACATGATAGCAAAGCATGTCGAGTCAATGTTTAGAGATGTATAGAACCCCAAACTAAATTGTAGATTCATTACTGCCCTAGTACCTTGTCACAGCTCCTTCCGGTGACGATTGAAGTCGAGAAAGTCATCGCAAGTTCTCTAACAGCATTACGCGTCTGGAGATTTCAAATTGGGGATGAAGGTGATTCAGACATCTTAACTAGTAGCATGTAAATATTGGTCAAGCTCATTAGGCTTACCTGCTCGGACATAAAGGCCCTTTCAGGCTTTTTCACAATTGGCGTTAAAGTACCATCGTAGTCCAAAAACATCACAATTGTCTTTCCTTGGACGTTGGCTGTGATATCATCAAAGAACTTGATTGCAGAAGGGCGTTTAGCCTGCAAAAATAAAACATTAGAAAATTCTTTACATATGTCAGTCAACAAATAATTCAAAATTTTGAGATTGAATATTATGCGATTATTAGAACATATGTCCAACACCATTAAATTGTGTTGTGAGTATTGATACAGAAATAGCAACAGCAGAAACTTATGTTCGAAAATCAGTGGATGGAACAGCATGTTTTATTCAGCGTGTGGAGGAATCCTGGTGTCAGCCGTACTAAAGAGCAAGGCAGTGTAGCAAACTAGCAATACTTACTGAAAAAGGTAAAAAGGTACAATATAAACTGAAACATATAGCAAAAGTCTTTCGAATTTGAAATCATTGATTGAAAGGTGTAATGTCGTGATTTTATTCATGGAAGCTCTAGAGGAGTACAGAAAGCCAAATGGGCCCCCAATTAGAGTGCGTTGGCGCTCAAGACCCAAAGATCCACGTCCCTCTTGCAGCAACCTATAATAGGTTTTGATCTGTCAAGATTGATCGAAAGATTTCACGGGCTTGAATCCCTGACTCTACCTTCCACCCGAGATGAAATAAATCAAATTGTTAAAAAGAGGCCATTGGACAAGGCCCTAGGCTCAAATGCTTTTAATGGGATGTTCATAAAGAAATGTTAAGAGTATTATATTTGAAGATATATTCAGACTATGTGATGATTTCTACTTGGGCAAAGCCAAAATGGAGAATTTCAATGGATCTTTGGAGAATGTTCATGACTATAGGCCTATCTCTTTAACCAATTTGTGTATTAAGTTTCTAATGAAGATATTGGCAGATACACTCCAAGGGAAATCTTAAACTGTTCACATACCAATCAATATGACTTCATTAGGGAAAGAACAACCAAGATTGCTTGGCTTGGACTTATATCAAATGCCAAAAATCAGGAAGATTGAATGGAATATTGAAGTTAGATTTTGAGAAGGCATTTGACACAATTGAACATTTTGTGATACTTGCAATTCTGAAACAGAAGGGCTTTTACAAAAGATGTTTGCAATGGGTGGAACTAGTTTTGTCATCAGGGATGCCATCAATACTATTGAATGGAGTTTCAGGGAAGCAATTTGTGTGCAAGCTTGGAGTGAGACAGAGCGACTCTCTATCTCTATTATTTGTTTAGGCGCAGATCTACCGCTAACTATGGTGAATGAGGCTTATAGGAGTGTCAGGCTTTCTCTTCCAATACCTGAACTTGCTAATCAAGATTTTCAGATGATGACATATTGCTTGTTTCGCTGGCATCTAAAGGTCAGCTTTTGCACCTCAAGTCTCTGCTCCAAACATTTGCTTCCTCAACCGGTAACTAACCCAAATCATCAATGATGTCTATTAATGTGCTGGAGGAATTAGCAGGCTCCTTTGGCTGTCGCATTGGCACTTGGCTCCCTCTGGGCACTACTAGACCCAAAGTGGAGGAATTTTCACGACTCATGATAGAGTAGAGCATCATCTCGCCGCTAGTGCTTCATTTTTGTTCTGTGGGGTGCACTTGCAGTCGATTAACTTAGCATCGTCATCAATCAACATACTAGATCTGCAGTGTGCATCCCTCTAGTAGTGCTTGAAATCATTGGTAGAACTAGATGGCACTGTCTTTGGAATGACTAGAAGAGTGGTCTTGCAGCATGGTCAAGCAACATAATTGGAGAATATTTGAGCATGAGAGACCTACATTTTCTACATGGAGGCGAGGTTTCAAGAATGATGTCCCTTCTTATGCACAGGATTAAAACTAGGAATGAGGATGTGCTCACAATTTTCCCTAGATACCTTCTAGTTTTCTGTTTTTTTACTAGTTAGCCTCCAGTTTTCTGATTCTTAGCCTATAATTACCTAGTTTGTGTTTATTTAGACTATGTTTTTAAAAGCATTGTGAGGGTTTCCCTTACAGTTTCCCCTCCAAAAACACTATCTGAACATAACGATACTATTCGAATATAGCATTTATTCGCGAACAGATTTCCATGTAATCTCTTTATTTGGTAAGTGACATATTCCCATAAATAGAAAACATATTGAATCTTTAAGCAAAGTAAAATACATCAGACAAACAACACATTTTTCCCAATGGGTGTTCAGCTTCAGACATGGTTTTTGTGCAGTTTGGCTCAAAAGTCTTTGTGGTTCATAAACTGGAAGTTATCTTTAAGTTATCGTTTTCTTGCATTTTTTGGTCTATATTTTACAAAATTGAGGCTTTGTTTCTAATGGACTAATGTTTAGCATTATCTTACATGGATAGGGCCTCCAGTTTTCGAATAACTTGGTGCATGCTGTGATGTAACAAGTGCTTTGCCTATTTGCGGCTAAATTGAGGTAAGACTAGAGAATACTTTAATGCATGTGATTTGAGTTCCTACTAGTAATGCGTATTGCACGCCATCCACCTCTTTGGCGACCTCCCTGTGGCAAACCTCCTATGGCGTAATTCCGCAAACATTGTACATTGCGCGTCTTCCTGCCATTCCGCAGACCTACAAAGGAGGGGGCATAAGATATCTCTCACTACCGCCCATTAGCCTCAGTCATGCCATTGTGAAGATCATAGCCAAGGTGCCTGCCATTTGTCTCAGGCTGCTCATGAACAGCCCTGTTTCCAACACCCAACGTGCTTTCATCAAGAAGAGGAGCATCCATGAGAACTTCATGTACGTTAGGAACCTTGCATGTAGGCTCCAAAGGAATAAAACATCTTCCGTCCTTTTCAAGCTCGACATCCACAAAGCCTTTGACTTTGTGTGATGGGAGTACATGTTCGACCTCCTCTAATGGAGGGGCTTCCTGAGTAGATTTCATGACCGGATTAACGCCCTGCTTTGCACCTCGTCCTCGACAGTCCTGAATCGGTTTGTCGGCCCTCCCATCAAGCATCGTCGGGGGCTAAGGCAAGGTGACTTGCTGTCCCCGCTAATTTTTGTCCTCACCATCAACCCCTTGTAGCAGATTCTTGATGTGGCCATTGGGCATGTACTCCTTCACAAGATTCGGGGTCAGGGCACTATCTTTCATACCTCCCTTTATACGAAGGCACGGTTGTGTTTGTCGCCCCAATCAAAGAGGACATTCAAAATCTTGCGACCATTTTGCATTCCTTTGGGGAGGTCACGAGTTTGCCACTATTTACAGAAGAACTGCGCCGTTCCTATTTGGTGTGGACACCTCAACCTTGATGATACCCTATAGAGTTTGCCCACCATGAGAACTTCCTCCCCGATAAAGTACCTTGGCCTCCAGCTCTTGGTTTGGCAACTCGAGAGGGTGGATTTTGAGCACCGAGAACAAGATTGTGGTAAAGCTCCCCCCTTCACAGTGGAAGAATATTACTATGGTTGGCCGAACTGTATTTGTTAAACGTCCTTTCCTCGCTAGCTGTGTACTACCCCACCCCTCGTTATCCCTTAAGTGTTCTCAATATTGTCAAGAAGTTAGAAGGGGTGTTTCTTGGTCGGGAATGAACAAAGATGCGAGAGGGAAATCCAAGGGAAACTGTTTGCCGCCCCACCCACCTTGGTGGCCCTGGTGTGCTCCACCTTGAAAATTTTCGCTAGAACGCGTCGGTTTACATCGCCATGGTTTGAGTGGAAGAATTCGAGAACCCATGAGCTGATATGGACCTTTTTATGCCTCAACCACAATCACCATTGGTAATGGTGAGGAGACCTTTTGGGACTCAATATGGCTACATGGAAGAAAACTGAAAGACATCGTGCCCCTCATCTCTGCGGCCTCCAAAAGGAAGAAGAGTGTGAAACAAGCCCTACACAAGCATGCATGGATTATGAAGATTAAAATGAGTAACGAGATATCCATGGCACAGATATTGGAGTTTGTAGACCTTTGGGATCTCCTAAAACAACAACAACAACAAAGCTTTTAGTCCCAAACAAGTTGGGGTAGGCTAGAGGTGAAACCCATAAGATCTCGCAACCAACTCATGGTTCTGGCACATGAATAGCAAGGTTCCACGCACCCCTGTCCATGGCTAGTTCTCTGGTGATACTCCGGTCCTTCAGATCCCTCTTTACGGACTCCTCCCATGTCAAGTTCGATCTACCCTGACCTCTGTTGACATTATCGGCACACTTTAGCCGTCTGCTATGCACTGGCGCTTCTGGAGGCCTGCGCTGAATATACCCAAACCATCTCAGACGATGTTGGACATGCTTCTCTTCAATCGGCGCTACCCCAACTCTATCTCGTATATCATAATTCCGTACTCGGTCCTGCCTTGTGTGGCCACACGTCCATCTTAGCATGCGCATCTCCGCCACACCTAACTGTTTTTTTCTCGAATACGCACGAGTGTGCGTACTTTACTATAAAGGAGTGGGGTAAAAGAGACATGTCACCTTTTAGTCGGCCAACACTCAACGCCATATAACATAGCTGGTCGAACCGCCGTCCTATAGAACTTGTCTTTTAGCTTTTGTGGCACTCTCTTGTCACAGAGAATGCCAGAAGCTTGGTGCCACTTCATCCATCCGGCTTTGATTCGATGATTCACATCTTCATCGATATCCCCATCCTTCTGTAGCATAGACCCCAGATATCTAAAGATGTCCTTCTGAGGCACCACCTGCCCATCAAGGCTAACCCCCTCCTCCTCGTGCCTAGTAGTACTGAAACCGCACCTCATGTACTCGGTTTTAGTTCTACTAAGTCTAAACCTTTGGATTCCAAGGTTTGTCTCCATAGCTCTAGCTTCCTGTTGACCCCCGTCCGACTATCATCGACTAGCACCACATCATCCACAAAGAGCATACATCATGGGATATCTCCTTGTATATACCTTGTGACCTCATCCATCACCAGAGCGAAAAGATAAGGGCTCAAAGCTGACCCCTGGTGCAGTCCTATTTTAATCGGGAAGTCATCAATGTCGCCATCACTTGTCACAACATTATCATACACGTCCTTGATGAGGGTAATGTGGGACTTTGTGTTTCTCCAAGGCCCACCACATGACATTCCACGGTATCTTATCACAGGCCTTCTCCAAGTCAATGAACACCATATGCAGGTCCTTCTTTTGCTCCCTGTATCTCTCCATGAGTTGTCGTACCAAGAAAATGGCTTCCATGGTCGACCTCCCATGCATGAAACCAAACTGATTTCCGACCACGCTTGTCATACTTCTTAAGCGGTGCTCAATGACCCTCTCCCATAGTTTCATTGTATGGCTCATCATCTTAATTCCACGGTAATTAGTACAACTCTGAACATCCCCTTTGTTCTTGAAGATCGGTACTAATATACTCCGTCTCCATCCTTCTGGCATCTTGTTTGCCCAAAAAATGAGGTTGAAAAGCTTAGTTAGCCATACTATACCTATGTCTCCGAGGTCTCTCCACACCTCAATGGGGATACAATCAGGGCCCATCGCCTTGCCTACTTTCATCCTTTTTAAAGCCTCCTTGACCTATGGATCCTGGATTCGCCGCACAAAACGCCTGCTGGTATCATCAAAGGAGTCGTCTAGTTCAATAGTAGAGATCTCATTCTCCCCATTGAATAGCTTGTTGAAGTACTCCCACCATCTATGTTTAATCTCATCGTCCTTCACTAGGAGCTCGTCTACTCCGTCCTTGATACATTTGACTTGGTCAACATTCCTCGTCTTCCTCTCTTGGATCTTGGCCGTCTGATAGATGTCTCTTTCGCCTTCCTTCGTGTCTAACCGCTGGTAGAGGTCCTCATACGCCCGACCCCTTTGCTTCACTCACAACTCACTTTGCGGCTTTCTTTGAGTTCACCCAAATAGCGATGCCAAGGATGCCATAAGATGGAAGATTTTGGACAGCAGCGGCATTGGCATACAGAGTACAATTCTTGTGAGCTACTCTTAACTTTGATGAACACAACTGTTTGGAAGTCATGGGCTCCCCCAAAGGTCGAATCCTTTGCATGGCTTGCTATCCAAAATAGGGTGTGTACCGCAGACCGACTTGAGAAGTGAGGTTGGCCAAATTGTAGGCTTTGGCCCTTTTGCATAAGGGCACAAGAATTGGCCACTCATCTCTTCTTCAAATGTTGTTTCATATTGAGAGTGTGGACGATGATTAAGGATTGGCTTGGCTTGGAGGCCCTTGACTTGTCTCGATGGGCGTATGTTTGTGAATTGGGTCTTATGGAATGAGAGAAATGCTTGGATCTTTCGAAACAAATCCACGCCACTACTATACATTTTGGTGCTCATCAAGAGTAAAGCCAGGCTTTGGGACATGGCATGTCCTAAACATCTGAGAAACATCATGCTGTGAGAGTAACGCCTTTTCTAGTTCAGATGTGTTCTTTCTTTTGCAGCATCTCTGTAGTTCCCTTCTTAATTAATGGATGAGGCAAATCTTTTGCATCTGTTTTGAAAAATACAAATACCAGCTGGGTTGTTAAGAATTAAGATGAAACCATACCGGCAATCTCCACCAAAGTAGAAGTAGGACCAATAATATTATCAATGAGCCCGCAACACAACCCACCACAATTCAAACCTGCTTCTTCCCTGCATATATATACTTCACCCATTAGTCAAAGAAAAGTTATATATAACAGAAAAGAATAGTTGGTTATATATATATATGGGGCCAACTCACCGTTTTTTCCTGCGGGGGTGGCTAACCCGCCCTTGCCAATGTCAAAGAAGGGGCGTGGCTCCAACCTGTAGCTGCACATCACTGCAGATCTCCACTCGCTCTCATACCCAAGAAGAAGAGGTACATCCGCCAAGTTCTCTAAACAGTCAGTACAGTTGGCAGCTGACATGTTTGGCAAACACTCTGCAAGGCCATATAGGCTGTATGTGCAAGCATCTCCAGTTAACTTTTTTTGCCCCGTGGCAAACCTGTGAGGGGAATCAGCTGCCATCTTCGCCAAATATATGATCAATCCATTGACAGCCTTGTTGAATACATTGCTGCACTGGGCAGGCACCTGAGAACCATTGACCTTACTGACACCTTTGTTCCAGGTCGAGTGAGATAGAATGTCCTGGTCGCTGAAAGCTAGGGTACAAAGTTCGTAGAACATGTACACCCTCTTCCTCGATGGGCATACGACCCGTGCATCCTGGAAGGCTTCATTGAGACATGCCTTGCATGTAGATGCATCTGTACCAGGACGACAACGCCCCAGGCCATATACCCTGCCCCCCCAGGATCCGAGAACCTTTTTGTCAAATAGATCTGGGGAGGAGGACACCGCATCGGGCAGCCCTGCAGACAGCTGCTCCAAGCTCTTCTGGTAGCTTCTGGGCACTGTGTAGTTCCCATCACAATCATGTGCCCAGTAACCAGGACTTGCTAGTGAGACTCCAGTGAGAACAACAAAAGCAAGGGCAGCCACTGCTGGTATCTTCATGCCTGCGCAGTAAAGAAAATGTCGGTTAACTTGCAATTTCATTCAGAACGATTCTACATGAACATGTTAAACAAACATTCTGCAAATTGAGTTGGTCCTGCGAACCAAATTAAATTAGGTAGAACATCTAGAAGAACATCTAAAAAATCCAGAACTTTGTTTTTGTGTTTAGGATAACACAAAATGTAGATTATCTTTAGTAAAGCATTGATCTGAATGTGTGAATAGGGGAACCATTCAGTGAAACAGGGCCACATTGTAACTCTACTGAGTTGGTTCTTTTACATTATTACATAGCATGCAGCTTAATAAAATTAATGTTTACATGTTTTTTCTTCCACTGGATTAATAAAAAATATGGTGGTTGGATATGCAGGGACGAGGCTGTGGAGCATGGGGAAGCCGCTGCACTTGACGGAGCGAGGGGAAATGCGGTCGTACAGTATTCAGTATGCTGTATCTGAATGTCGAGGGAGTTACCATGTGGCGCTGTTTTTCTGAATGGTTTTTGGGTGAGCGTGCATGTTATCCCTGTAACACCGGAAGCCCAGGCAGCAAGGCATGTTCTACTGTTCTGAAGGATTCAAGATTTGACAGGGTTATCTTAGCTTCAGACTGTCTTTATTTGGCTAACAAGCTGAACTCTTCCTTGCTGGACAGAACGTCTGCTGGATACATGATGCCGGCGTTGTGTGGGTTGACGAGGCCCTGGAACCGTTCCGTCCTCTCGGTTGTACTGAACAAGTTTTTTTTAAGATGGATAAACAAGTTTGGCAAAACGGTGACTCTTTAGGAAAATATATAATTCTACTGAGTTGAGTTAATTCAGTCAAGTTTTTTTTTTTTGTAAAAAAGACTGCCTGGTTTGTTGTGGGGCAGGACTCCTAGATTGCTGGACAGGTAGCGTTGTTTCGCTGAAGAAGCAGGTCCCTAATGGAGACAGGATTTTTGGCTTTAGGGCTCCATGAAGCCTGAATTTTAAAAAATAAAAATCAAAAGTCGAATTTTAAAAAATGCACAGGTACTTAGAGATGTATACTACATGTGTGTAAAATTGCATTATAAAATACGTTTTGATGTGAGCTGTGCAAAAAACCAAAATCATGTATTTTTATAGTGAAAATACATGATTTTGTTATTTTTCTGTAGCTTGCATATAAATGTATTTCACAATATAACTTTACACACAAGTAGTATACATTCATAGGTTTTGAAACCAAAGTCAGTTTTTTCAAAAAAAAATGAAAAAAGGCTCCATGGAGCTTGGGAGCCAAACACAATTTCTGGTCCCTAATGAAGACCTCTTCGGAGACCTACTAATCGGCCCCTGTAGCACCAGAACGAGGACTAGGCCTCACGTGCGCGATTTGTTGTGGTTCGGCCAAGCTACGGGACCTTCCCTGGCTCCCTCGGTTAACCAATTGACAGTTGACTTTTTTTAAAAATCATAAATTTGACAGAAAAAGTAACTTTGAAAATAGTTCATAAGTTTTTAAAAAACATTGCGAAATTGAAAAAACTTCATAAATTTGAAAAGAATCACAAAAAATGAAAAACATTATGAGTTTGGAAAAGTTTTTAATTTAGAAAACTTCATGCAAAAAATTCACAAGTTAAAAAAATTATGGGTTTGAAAAAAAAACTACAAAAAAACGATGAAACACAAAATCCAGATACCCGGGCCCAAAAACTGCTGATGGGAGAGATGAGTTTTTGGACCGGCCCAGTTGCCCTAGTGAATAAGCACCAAACGGGAACAAGCTCCTCTTTGAAGCTTTAATGCGCGCTAAGGACGTTGCCCGGATGAGCACAGCCACTAACGTATGCTCGGCTCCCGCTCGCTCTACGCCCGCTAGTTTCGTATTTTGATTTTAGCTTCTATTCTGCTACAGTTGGTCTACTGTTTTTGAAAGGAACCGACCGATTGTTCAAATTAAAAAAACTTTCATTATTTTATTAAAGTTTGCAAATTTATTTTTTGGAAATTTTAAAATTATTCGTGCATTTTTAAAGATGTTCATGAAATTTTAAAAATGCCCACAAATTTGGAAAAGGTGTTTAAGGATTTTTATAAAGTTCATGAATTTTTAAAACGATCAGGAATTCAAAAAAGATCCTGAATATGAAAAATTGATCATGAACTCGAAAAAATAAAGGAAATTGAAAAAAAATCCAATAGAAAAACTGGCCAAAGAAACAAAAGTAAAACAGAGAGAAAACTAGGGGAACATTCTAGAAGGTTCCTAGAGCGCCGACTACCAGTAAAACACCATTTGGCACTGTAAGCACCAAATAGGATTTCCCGTCCCGAGGCATCCTCTTCGACGCTTAACGTGCCAGTTGGTGAACCGCCTATATAGCCTACTAACGCCCGCGTCGTTCCTGCTTGCTCTGCGCCTGCTCATTTTTTCTCGTATTCTCAAAAATAAATGGTACTTCGTTGCTTGTATTCTGCTACAGTTGGTCTCATGTTCTTCGAAAATCAACACCCAGTTTATAAACTAAAAATGTTCAGAAATTGAATAGAAGTTGCAAATTCGAAAATAGTTCCATAAATTTGGAAATCATTCATGAAAATAGTTTCATAAATTTGAAAATCATTCGTGAATTTTTAAAATGTTTAGTGAAATATAATTTTTTTTTGCAGATTTTGTTGCCGGATTTGAAAAAAAGTGTTTACAGATTTTAGAAAAGTTTGCGGCTATGAAAATAGTTGTGGACTTAAGAATTGTTTATGAATTTGAAAAACATTTAAAGAAATAATGAGAAAAAAATCATGAATTTATATATAAAGGAAAAACTGGCCAAAGAAACAAAACTAAAAATACAGGGAAACATGCCATTTACCGGTAAAGCATTATTTGGTGCATAAGCGCCAAATATAATTTGCGATCCCGAGACGTCCTTTTTGGCATAATCAGTGACGCTCGGTCGTGCCCATTACTTTGATTTTTTTGCCTGTATTCTACTACATCAAGTTTTTTGTTGTTAGAAAAATGTCAGTATTTTAAATTAAAGATGTCCCCCTTTTTTAAGTTTGTAAATTCAATTTTCAGGAATTTGAAAAAATCTTCCTGAATTTTAAAAAAAAATCATGAAGGAGAGAAATGTTCGCTGATTTGGAAAGAAGTGATTATGGATTCTAAAAGAATTTTGTGGATTTGAAAGAAGTTTTTGGATTCCAAAATGTGGTTTGGAAAATTTTCACAGATTTAAAAATGATTCATACATTTAAAAGTTTTCTTAATTTGAAAGTTTGTGAATACAAATAAAGTTCACATATTATGAAAAAAAGGAAGGAAAATGCACTATCTGGAATTATACTAGAAGGTCAGGAAAACTACCCAGGAAAACCTACGAATATACTAGAAGGCCAAAACCGACTAAACAACCTACAATCTCAGGTCAGCGGCTCATTTGCTGTCCCGAGACCTTTTCCTCGGCGCTTAACGCACCAGTTGCCGAACCAACGGCCAGGTTGTCTCCTACATGGGCCTGGCCCGTTAAAGCTCTCTTGACTCTCGCTTGCTCTCTTGCTTCGTATTTGTTTCGCTCGTATTTTTCTACCACTTGTCTGTTGTTCTTTGGAGAAAAGCTTGCTTTTAAAATTTTAAATGTGCACAAATTATAAAAATTGCAAATTCAAAAATGTTGGTGAATTATAAAAAAGAGAGAAGTGCATATTAGACCCCTCAACTCTAGCCCTAGTCTAATATACACCCCTCAACTCCAATACCGTCTAGTTTACTCCCCCCAACTCTCAAAACCGGCCAGATTTCAACCCTCCCCACCCCGTTGACCGGTTTTGACCTGTTGACTGGGGTGAACAGTAACTTAAAAAAAACAACGAGTGAACAGTAAGTTCAGAAAAAAGTTGGGAATAAAATTCAACAAACAATTTTGATTTTTTACCGAGTGAATAGTAAATTCAAAAAATTACTATTTTTTTCATAAATATCCGAATTCTTTTTGGATGGTCGATTTTTCAGTGCATGATGTCCGTGCCAATTTTCAGCTTGTTTGGACATTTGAGTGGTATCTCAACAAAAAAAATCGGCCTGAACAATACATGAACAGTTAACTATTTCACAGACATCACATTTGTCTTTTTTGCTGAGAGCTACTTAAATGTTTGAACATGCTAGAGATTGGAACGAACATCATGCACTCAAACATCGTCCATGCAAAAATAATTAAGATTTTTTTTTCGAATTACTGTTCATCCGAACAAAAAAATAACAAATTAAAATTATTTTTTGAACTTTTATTTGTATTTTAAATATTTTTTGGAATTTATTGTTCGCCCAGTGAAAAAACTATTTTAATTTTAATTTTATTTCTTTTGAATTACTGTTAACCTAGTCAACAGGTCAAAACTAGTCAACGGGAGGGGAGGGTTGAATTCCGCCTGGTTTTGGGAGTTGAGGATGTAAACTAGACAGTATTGAAGTTTGGGAGGTGGCGGGTATATATTAGACTAGGGCTAGAGTTGAGGAGTGTAATATGCACTTCTCTCTATAAAAAATGTTCGTGAATTCAAAAACAGTTGCGAATTTTAAAAAAGGTTTTTAATTAGAAAATGTTCACATGTTTTTTAAAAGTGGTCATGGATTTTTAAAAACGTTCACATATTTGAAAAATGTGACCACACATTTTTTTTAAAGGTTTACATATTTTAAAAAAGTGCAAGGATTTGAAAAATGTTCACAGATTGAAAAAAGAAATGGAAATTGAAAAATAAAAAGAAAACTAAACCAAAATAGAAAACTGGCCAAGGAAACAGAAAATAAGAACATAGAGAAAAACAGCTAAAAATAGGAGAACCATCTAGAAGGTTTCCAAAACTGGAAAACAGTCTGCAGTATTAGTCCCACGTGAGCTCCAGCTACCGGTAAAGCACTATTTGACAATATTAAGGCGTGTACAATTGTTTTATCTTAACAATGTCATGTTGCGGTGGAGGAAAAAGAAAGACTTTGCCTTCTTTTAATTAAGAGATGATCTCTTAATGAAAGATCTCTCACCATATTTTTAGAAATATC